GCGTCTGGGGGTGCTGCTGAGGCTGCTGGTGTTGACGGTCCTACTGGAGTTGGTGCTGCTGGAGCTGGAGCTGCTGGGGGTGTTGGCGCTGGTGGTGCTGCTGGCGCTGGTGCTTCTGAGGGTGTTGGAGTTGGCGCTGTTGGAGCTGGAGGTGCTGCTGGCGCTAGTGCTGCCGCTGGGGGTAGTGGTGCCGACCTTGCTGGTTCTGGAGGCGCTGCACGGCCGAGGCCATACTTCGTTCCGCTCCTTGAGCAGGTTCTTGGTCTCCCGCCCTCTACTGGTCCTGCTCCTCCCTTAGAGTGTCCACAGTCTGTCTAGTCGCAGTCACAGTTATAGCCCGCCTCCCTGCTACCTGCTCCTTCTCCCTACACTGGTCCTATTGGAGATCTTACTGAGCGTCGTGAGCCTGCGTCTCGTCCTGCGTCGCCTGTTCGTGCTGCTCGCACTAGTGGTCATACTGCGCGTCCGCGTCCTCCTGCGGTCCCCGGCACACACCAGATGGCGCTGCGTCCTTCCACTTCTCCCCTGCGTGTCCCGTTACCGTCTCCTCCAGAGTCCTCTCTTCCTACTCTTTCTGACCCGTAGTCTGACTCTCTTCGTGCTGCTAGTCCTTCTGTCACGCGTCTCCTAGCTACTATTGTCACTGACCCTTCCTTTGAGTCCACTGCTGCGTCTGCCCTAGTTGCTGAGCTTGTCGACTTCTCTGCTCGCTGTCGTCTAGACTACGCTGCTAGTCTTGTTTCTGAGTCTGAGTCTGTCTATTCTCCGTCCATCGAGGGCGAGTGTGCTCTTAGCACGGACGTCCTTGAGGACAGGCACGAGGAGTTCAAGTGCTTTGCTGCAGCTTTGCCCTATCTCGTGTCCACGCTGATTGCCCCTGAGGGAGATCGGGATGCACCAGACATCCCGACTCCTCGATCGTACGCTGAGGCGATCGAGGGTCCCTACTCCTCTCAGTGGGAGTCAGCCATGGACGCATAGATGGCTTTCTGGAAGTCCACAGGCACCTACGTGGACGAGGTTCCCCCACCTGGGGCGAACATCGTCAGTGGAATGTGGATTTTCAGGGTGAAGCGGCCGCCGGGTTCTCCGCCTTTCTTCAAGGCGCGTTACGTGGCTCGAGGCTTAAGTCAGCGTCAGGGAGTTGACTACTTTTAGACCTTCTCTCCCACCCCGAAGATGACCACTCTTCGGGTGCTGCTGCACATACCCGCTTAGCGCGACTACGAGCTTCACTCTCTTGACTTCAGCACAGCTTTCCTGCAGGGCAGCCTACTCCTCGCCTCAGGCCACTCCTCTGTTTACTCGCCACTCGCTCTCAGCTTTGCCTTCGGATGAGTCCGTAGAGCCGAGTGGCCCGTACCCAGAGCTTGTTGGCTGCCTCATGTACCTGATGACCTGCACACGACCTGACCTTGCATACCCTCTTAGCATCTTGGCACGCTATGTTGCTCCTTGGAGACACCGACCAGAGCACATGGCTGCAGCGAAGAGGGTTTTGCGCTACTTGTGGAGTACGTTGGGCATGGGGCTAGTGCTTGGAGGGCAACGTCGAGTGGTCCTCACAGGTCACGCAGACGCTTCTTGGGCTGATGACCAGGCTACGCAGCGGTCGTCACAGGGTTACACCTTCACCCTTGGTTCCGGCTCTGTTTCGTGGCGGTCTACCCGTTTGTCTTCTGTTCTCGGCTCCAGCTGTGAGGCTGAGATCTACGCGGGGGCCATGGCTGCACAAGAGCTACGCCGGCTCACCTACCTGCTGACTGACCTAGGAGTGTCGCCTCGTTCTCCTCCAGTTCTGTACGTAGACAACAAGGCCATGCTGGCCTTGTGTCGGGAGCACAGACTACAGCACAGAACGAAGCACATTGCTCTTCGCTACTTCCTGGCTCGTGAGCTGCAGCAGCGTGGTCAGCTGCGCCTTGCTTACGTGGCCTCTGAGGCCAACACTGCTGATATCTTTACCAAGGCACTTCCGCCTTGTGATCATCAGCGATTCTGTACGATGCTAGGTCTTGTGCGTACTTGGCCACACTTGCTCACTTGTTGACATTGCTTGTACTGTGATCTGTCTATACCTGCACTTGCTTGTTTACCTTTATATATAATCTTGCATGTGAACTGGCCTTCTGGCCTTGAACTTGTGCTCGGAATGTGTGGTGACGTTGTGATCCACCTTGAGCTTGTTTTGCTTTGCTTGACTGGTCTTGTGACCTCTTGTTCTCCCCCACTTTGCCTATGGGGGTGTGTCAAACTTATATGTTATAGTCTGTGTAGGCTGTAGTGGGGTAGACAATATGGGGTACAACACTTTTAGGTTTTCCTACTTGTACCCACCTGCTTGCTAGTTCATTCATCCTTGTTCTCTCACAATAGTGAGTCGAAGAACGAGGGGGAAAAATAAGTTGGACAAGGTATCACAAAAGGATAGTACGATTGAGATGGGGAGAGAGAGAAGAACAACGGGTTGGGGCGAGAGGAGGCGAACGACGAGATGGGAGGGGAGAGGAGGAACGTGAGCGTGATGCCGACGGGAGGGAGAGCGCGCAGGCGACGGGACGTGAGAGCGCGAAGGCGACGGGTGGGAGAAGAGACATGTGACAATAGGGAGAGCGCGAAGGCGACGACTGCATCGAGGGTGACGGGAGGGGAGGGGAGAAAAGGAGGTCGATAGGAAGGGAGGGTTTAGAGCGAGGGTGACGAGAGGGAAGGGAAGCGGAGACCGCGAAGGCGACGAGAGGGAAAACGACAAGAGGGGAGCGGACAGAGGAAGAACGACGGGCGGGGAAGGGAGAGAGCGCAGAGGCGACGGGAGAGAGAATGCGGAGGCAACGGGAAAGAGAGAGCGGAGGCGACAGGAGAGAGAGCGCGAATACGACGGGAGTGAGAGCGCAAAGGCTGCGGGAGAGAGAGCGTGAGGGCGACGGGAGGGAGAGCGCTGAGGCGACGAGAAAGAGAGCGCGGAGGAGATGGGTAAGAGAGTGCGAAGGCGACACGAGAGAGAGCGTGAAAGCGACGGGAGTGAGAGCGCGAAGGCGACGGAAGAGAGAGCGCAGAAGGCGACGGGAGAATGAGCGCGAAGGCGACGGGAGGGCGAAGGCGGCGGGAGAGATGACAAGCGACGGGAGAGAGGAGGGCGACGGGAGAGAGGAGGGCGATGGGAGAAAGGAAGGCGGCAAGAGAGGGATAGGCGAAGCGCGAGAGAGGAAGGTGAACGGGAAAAATGTAGAGCGACTGGAGGTCGATATACCGAGAGCGCGATGGCTGGAAAAGGTGAAGGGGTGGGAGACACATGCGAAAGAGGAGAAAAATGTATACTATAAAGATCGTCGTTTACTAGATTACGCACGCAAGCTTAGTTGATACTTCGTGCCTGGGTCAGAAACATCTAGGCTCTATCAGCTTTACTACTACCGTATGCTTCGCAAAACAGTAGTGTCTTCGAGACTGGAAGAGGACTAATCATTCACCCAGTTCCAACTTGAAGTTGAAGTTGGGCGTGGCGATGGAAACGATCGCATGGTAACGGTCGTGCGGGGAGCAGCGAGTAAAATTGCGACGGCTAACTTGGGCCTCAAAAATCGTTTTTGCGGGAGGGGAAATTTTCGGATTGGCTAGAGCTAATAAGATGAGTTCAACCTGCCAACGCGGTTTGTTTGGAACAGTGTTGCATCACCCGAACTATTCGCAGCGATTTCAAGTTGGGTCTGCATTCACTATTTTATATTTCGGTTTTAACCCCCCCCATGGAAGACACCGCTCGAAGCAAGATGACACGGGCTTGCGCACGTTGTAACGCCACCCCGATGAGCGCCTTCAGTGACCCCAAAAGATAAGCCGAAAGCACAGAATCGTCCTCCCGACAAGCCCTCTGCGACACAGCTAGCCCCACGTGCGCATCCCCCTGCTGAGTTCTGTTATATGCAATGGTAAAATGTGATCACGGTATATTTTTCATTAGTTGTTTTCTGGAAAGTGAGGGAATCCATTAACTTGCGTGTTAGAGAGGCTGCTGTTAATGAGGAACGGATATGAAGCTGATGTGTGCATAAAAAAATACCGAACTAGCCCTCTGCTTTCCACTTACTGGTTCAGGCGTGATTCGCCGTCGCTAGTAGTTGTCCTCAGCTTCTTAGGAAATGGAGCATTGCCTTTGTTCTCTAAGACCGGCCTCGGCTCCCGCTTTCCCGTCCTTGCCGTCAACGTTTCCTTCTACGCGTACGTCAACTTTTTCGTCAACGGTACCCCTCCAACAGTCCCCTCCATTCAATCATCACCCTCACCCTCACCCTCATGGCCGTACCGCAAAGATTAGAGTGCCTAGCGGCTCTCTCGCCGCTGGCACTTTCAGAATAGCATCCACAGCAGGTGAATTCAACGGGTTTCTTCCCTCGCGTTTTGCTCAACAAGCGGCTAGGCGGCGAGTCGCAGTCAAACTATCGAATGCGGCCACTCTCAATGCCGGCTCATGTCAACCAATCAGTAAAGTCTCCGCTGTTGCTGCGGTTGTTGTAGTAGCAGCCGCTGCCACAGGAAACAATAACTCATCCGCAGCTACTAAGCCAGCCACTGGAGCTTCTAGAAGTGTCGCAGAAGCTTCAAAGGTGATTCCTGGAAACTCCCAAAGAGGGCCTAGGGATGCAAGCAGCCAATGGAAAGACGAGCTTTCAGAGAAGACCTTAAAGTTGCTCCGGACGAAGCCGGTCAACCAATGCGTGGACTTCATCGCGAGAGAATGCGAGCGCGTGGCGGCTGATAGTGCCACGACATCACTCAGCGATTCTGCCACGTCATCACTGAGCGAGCCTGCCACGTCATCTCACGGCCAGCCGGCCTCATCTCCCCGCGCGGCTGCGCTGAGCGTCCTGTCTCAATGCCTCAGGAAACTGCTTCAAACGAGTCAGCTTAAAACGGCGAATTCGCTGCTCCTCGCACTAGCACATCACCAGTCTGAAGACCCGCTTAGAAAAAACTCAGCAGATGGGGAAAGCGGGGGGTTCATGGGCCGAGCGGTGAAGTGGGAGGAGGTGGTGGGGAGCGTGGCAGCGCGGCGAGACGTGCGTCTGGCAGTGCTGCACGCGCTGAGACGAAAGCGGGTGGAGGAAGCAGTTGATTTGATCTGCTCCCTCGCAGGTAGCACCACTTTCTGTTCAACCCTGAAATGTCTGAATGACTAGCAGGTTCTGCTTCCCTCTTCTCTTGTTTCTCATCTCTCTGCTTCCTCACAATCCACTCGTTGGGTTCTCTTAAACCCAGTCATTGGGGCCCAGTCATTGGGGTCTTTGCGCCAAGCCCCTTCCCCCAAACCCCCAGTCCCCGCCCCCCCCCCTCCCCCCATTCCCCCCTGTGCGTGTCAAGTCAACCCCCCACTTACCCCCTCCAGGCTTGGGCTATCGCCAAGGAAGCTTCAAGCTAGCAGTGAGCGATCAGGTGTACCAAGCAAGCATGCATTGCCTATTGAGACGCCTTATAAGCACCCTGCACCCTGTGTGTAGTAACCCACCCCCCAACCCCCCTGTTTGTGTGTGTGTGTGTGAACCCAATGCCCGCCCATCTGTGCCTACCAGGTCTGGGGCTATCCCCAAGGAAGCTAGCAGTGAGCGACCAGGTGTACCAAGCATGCGTTGCCGCCTCCAACCTGCCCCTCGTGATGCGGTGAGTTACCTTTGTTCACCGGCCAGGGTTCAGGGTCTAGGGTTGGCAGGCTTAGAGCCGCCTCAGTCACGGAAGCTAGCAGTGAGCGACCAGGTGTACCAAGCATGCGTCGCCGCTCGTGATGCGGTTAGTTGGGTTTGTTCACCGTCCAGGGTTCAGGGTCTAGGGTTTGCAGGCTTACAGCCGCCTCAGTCGTGGAAGCTAGCAGTGAGCGATCAGGTGTACCAAGCATGCATTGCTGCCTCTAATTTACCTCTTGTCATGTGGTGAGTTAGCATTGTTCACTGACCAGGGTTCTGGGTATAGGGTTTGCAGGCTTAGATCCTAGCAGCACACCCCAGTGAAGAAAGCTAGCAGTGAGTGAGCGACCAGGTGTACGGTGTACCTACCAAGGCCACTTGCCGAGTGCGTCCGCAGTGGATCACAGCAAGGCCATCGAGGAGTGCACGATGCAGGGCAACCTGCAATGCAACCAACCAGCCTTGACTTGACCCTCTCTCTCTTTCACACACCCGCTCTTCCTTTCACCTTCCTCCCCTGCTCGCAGCTTCATCCTGCACCTGCCATCTGCAAGTTCAGTGGATTACAACAAGGCCCTCAAGGAGTGTGCCAGGCAGGGCAAGCTACAACTAGCATTGACACTCTTCCACGCACTCAGGAAGGGGTGCAGAGCAGGAGGAAGTGGGGGTGGTGATAGCAGCAGTAACAGAAGCAGCAGCGGTGGTACCAGGGAGTCACCTGGAGAAGATTCGTTGCCACCTGGCGTTTCACCTGAGGTTTTACCTGAGGAGGGCGCGTTACCTGAAATAGCACCTGGAGTGGAACCTGACATGTTCACCTACCGTTCCATGATGGACGTGTGTGCAGCATGCGGCGCAGGCACTACGGCTGCTGAAATCATTCAGGTGAAGCATATGAGTTGGCTGCTTGCCTGCTGCTTTTGAGGCGACTCAAATGCAGGCAGTACGGCTGCTGAAATCGTTCAGGTGATACATACGAGTTGGCTGCTTGCTTGCCCGCTCGTGCTCCTTCCTAGTTCGACACTTCGCTTCTCTGACATGACTTTTGAGGCGCCTCAAAAGTGTTCCTACACTTCGCTGCTCCCGTCCCACCACCCTCTATCCCCACTCGTGCCCTTCCCCCCACCAGGCTATGGTGGAGGAGGACGGGGTGGGTGTTAGGTACCCAACAACACCTACGCGGTCAGCGGAGCAGAGCTCACAGCACTCAATGCTTGTGCTGACTGACACCCGCTCTTCGTTTCCTTTTTTATTGGCGCCTGCTCCCATCCCTCCCTCCCCTGCTGTGGTACCACCAGGCTATGGTGGAGGAGGACGGGGTGGCACCTACGTGGTCAACAGCGCACTCAACGCTTGTACTGACACGTTCTCTCTTCTTCACTGTCCTTCCCCGTGCCTTCCGCCCACCAGGCTATGGTGGAGGAGGACGGGGTGGTACCCAACACCTATGTGGTCAACAGTGCTCTTAACGCGTGCATCAGCGACTGGGACGCCACGTGGTCGCTCTGGTTCCGCATGGAGGTGAGCTGGCAGTGCTGAGCTGGCGGTGATGACCTGGCCTGGCAGTAGTACTCCTGCAGTCCTGGTGGATTTCCCATGAGTTAAGAGAGCAAAGTCACGCTTACATCAATACACTACGAAGAAAACAATTAGTTTGAATAGCAGTGAGCTGGCAGTGAGCTGGCAATGAGCTGGCAATGAGCTGGGAATGAGCTGGCAGTGAGCTGGCAACGACATTCTTACCTTGATTCCATTCTTCCCTCATCCTTCCCCCTTGCCCTTCTCTCCCTTGTCCTTCCCGATGCCACCACCTTCAACACGCTGCTCAAGGCCTGCGCCACCACAGTCTGGTACCACAGTCTGGCCTCTCACTCACAGTCTGGTACCATATTCACTTTCCATGTTCCTTCCCCGTGCACATCTCTCCCATCCAGCGTCTCGGTGTAAGCCCCGACGCCACCACCTTCAACACGCTGCTCAAGGCCTGTGCCGCCCACTGCCGCCCGGATGCTGCCCAGCTGCTGTACGAGCAGCTGAGGGCGCTGGAGGAGCGAGAAGAACGGGCTGGAGGCAACCACAGCAGCAGGCAAGATAGACGCAGTGAGAGCAGCAGCGAGGATAGAAGTGGGAACAGCAGCAGGCAGAATAGACGCAGTGAGAGCAGCAGCGAGGATAGAAGTGGGAACAGCAGCAGCCAGAATAGACGCAGTGAGAGCAGCAGCGAGGATAGAAGCAACAAGAACAGCAGCAACTCTAGAAGTGGGAACAGCAGCACCAGCAGCAGCCAAAATAGAAGTAGTGAGAGCAGCAGCGAGCCTAGAAGCCAAAACAGCCGCACCAGCAGCAGCAGCAGCAGCGGCAGCAGCAGAATCAGTCGCTCCAGGTACCTAGACGTGTACACATACAGTACAGTCATCCAGATCCTCGCCCAATCCGGCCGCTTCCAAGCCGCCTTCGCCGTCAAATCCGACATGGACCAATCAGGCGTGTGCGCCAACGTGGTGACGTGGACGTCTCTGATTGGTGCGTGCGTGCACGCGGGGTTTGTGGACCATGCGTTTAGGGTTTTTGACGAGATGGTGGGGTCTGGGTGTGAGGCGACCACTGCTGTGTATAACCTGATGATCGACATGTGCGCCGAAGCTGGGCTGGAGGATCGGGCGGTGGCGTTGCTTCGGGAAATGCAGGCTGGGGGGAGGAGCGGGAAGATGAGGGCGGGGGAAGAGAGGGGGGATGAGGAGAGTGGAGTGGAGCAAGAGGTTTCAGTTGTTGCTGCATCGTCTCCCTCCTCCTCCACCACCTCTGCCTCCTCCTCCTCTCCTCCCTCCTCCCCCTCCATCTGCGCCCCCGATATAATCACATTCAACACAGTCATCAAGGCGTGCACAGGCAGCCCCCAGCGCGCGCGGGCGTTTGTGGGGGAGATGCGAGCGGCAGGGATAGCACCCAACGAGCGCACGTGGGTGGCACTCTTGGATTGCCATGGGACCAACGCGGATACAGCTGCTGCTGTGCAGGTGGGTATTCATGTGTTTATACTCTGGTGGGGAGAAGAGCGGGGCTAGAAATGGGGGAGATAATAGGGTGGGGATGCGGGGACGCAGTCCCCAGCGCACGCATCAAGGCGTGCACAGGCAGTCCTTAGTGCATGTGGGCGTTTGTGGGGGAGCCTGTTTTTGAGTCGACGCAAATACATGCACGGGCAGCCCCCAGCGCGTGCGGGCGTTTGTGGGGGAGATGAGAGCGGTGGGGAAAGCGCACGTGAGTGGCTCTGCTGGACTGCCATGGGACCAGCGCCGACACCACCGCTGCTGTGCAGGTGTGCGTGTGTGTGCGTGCGTGCGTGCGTGCGTGCGTGCGTGCGTGCGTGCGTGCGTGCGTGAGTGCGTGCGTGCGTGCGTGTGTGTGTGTGTGCGCGCGCGCGTCTGTGTCTTTGTGGTTGCATGTGTGTGCGTGCGTGCTGGTGTTTGGATGTGTGTGTGCTGGGGAGAGAACCAACGAGCTGCACGTGGGTGGCGCTGCGCTGCTGGACTGCCATGGTAAGAATGCGGATACCACCGCTGCTGGACTGCCATGGTAAGAATGCGGATACCACCGCTGCTGGACTGCCATGGTAAGGATGCGGATACCACAGCTGCTGGACTGCCATGGTAAGAATGCGGATACCACCGCTGCTGTGCAGGTGTGTGTGCGTGTACTGAGGGGAGGTTCAACAAGGCCGATGTGGTGTAAATGGTTCCAAGTGGTTTGTACTGGTGCCACTTGGTTGACCTCAAATTTAGTTTTGATGCGCCTCACTACCAGACTCCAGTCCAAATGTGCTGGGGGGTTCAATTCAAGGCGGATGTGGTGTGGTGTGGTGTGGTGTGGTGTTGTGTTTTTCTGGTGCCAGCCAGCCACTTCATTTACCCCAAAACTCCACCCTCGTCCCGTTCAACCCTCCCTCCCTCCACTCCTCCCCCTCCTTTCCCCTCCTCTCCCGCACACATCGGTCAGGCGTTTCAAGACATGCTCAAGGTGGACGTCGTGGCATACACTGCTGTTATCAAGGTCTGGCTAGTCAGTTTTCCCCCCTCTCCGTTCCCCCCTCCCCTCCTCTTTTCCTTCTCTCCTTTCCTCCCCCTTGCCTCGTCCCCACACATCGGTCAGGCGTTTCAAGGCATGCAAGCAGCGGGGTTCAAAGCTGACGTGGTCGCATACACTGCTGTAATCAAGGTGTGTGTCATCAGTTATATGGTCGCTGCTGTCATGAAGTATGTTGAATCAACTTAGAGATCATTTCAAAACGGACGTGGTGGGTGGCATACACTCCAAGTTGACTTTCTGTTCAATCTGGCTCTCTAATACGCTCTAGCTCACAAGCTCTCCAGGCTTTTTCATTTTTTTTTTTTCATTTCATGGAGTTTGCTTCGTCGTCCTAGAAACATTCTAAGTTGATGGACATAAGACCTCCGCAGCCTACCTGTTTACCACTGACAACGGACGTGGTGGCATTAGGGATGAGCAAGGTGGCGAACACCTGTTCGGTTCGCCTCGAACGTGTTCGAGGCGAACCGAACAGGTTTTGTTTTTTAGCTCTAATCGTTCGCCGAACAGTGCTCGATGTTCGCCCGAACACGTTCGTGTTCGGGCCGCTGCTGAAATTTGCCCGCGACGAACACGAACAGTGTTCGAGGTTCGCCCGAACACGCCTCCACAGGCGAACAGCGAACACCTGTTTTTTCCCAAACTGTTCGCCGAACCGAACAGTGTTCGGTTCGGCAAAAGAGGGTGTTCGACAAGGGGCGAAGACGAACATGTTCGTGTTCGCCCTTTGCTCATCCCTAGGTGGCATACACTGCGGCTATCAAGGTGCGATCAGTTTGTGTGATTCTTGAAGAGCTCAAGTGTCCAGTGAACTCTCAAGTGAGCTTGACAGTGCATCTGAGCTTAAGTGAACGTAAGCAGTGGACTCTCAAAGCGCTGTATTCCCGAGAGTTGGTTGGTTGGCACAACCCCATCGCCGAGTTTTGAGTCGACTCAAAACTCGACTCACTACACGCAGTGGACTCTCAAAGCGCTGTATTCCCCAGAGTTGGTTGGTTGGTACAACCCCATCGCCGAGTTTTGAGTCGACTCAAAACTCGACTCACTACACGTAGTGGACTCTCAAAGAGCTGTATTCCCCAGAGTTGGTTGGTTGGTACAACCCCATCGCCGAGTTTTGAGTCAACTCAAAACTCGACTCACTACACGCAGTGGACTCTCAAAGAGCTGTATTCCCCAGAGTTGGTTGGTTGGTACAACCCCATTGCCGCTCAGTATTTTTGAGGCGCCTCAAAACCGCGTGAACTGAGACGATTTTTGAGGCGCCTCAAAAAGCAGTGGACTCTCAAAGAGCTGTATTCCCCCGAGTTGGTTGGCTGGCACAACCCCATCGCCGCTCAGTATTTTTTTCGAGGATAGAGTTCCAAGCCACCGAACACCTAATCTCGCCTGTGCGGTTTTTGAGGCGCCTAAAAAATCCTCAAAAGGCGCCCAAAAAATCGTCTCAGTAGTTTCTGGAGGGCTGAGTTCAAGTCACCGAACACGTAATCTCGCCTCTGTGTCTTCACTGATTGCAGGCGTGCATTCGAGGAGGAGACTGGGACCGAGCTTTTGGATTCTACGACCAAATGAAGGCCGAGGGCGTCAGGCCCAACCTGGTAAACAAACAGATCTCGGCCCTCATAGATATCATACAGGCCACTTTTGACACACCTTAGAAACCGCCTGCTTTTGAAGGGGAGACTGGGACCATGCTTGCTTCTGCCTTGTACGATACTTTGAAGGCCGAGGGATTCAGGCCGAACCTGATGAGGAGAAATCGCGACAGACAAGAGCAACTGCCGTATCGTCGAGTTAGAGTTTTTTTAAGCGTGGCACAAGCATCTCCACAAGCATCACCACAAGCACCACCACAAGCACCACCACAAGCATCACCACAAGCATCACCACACGCATCAGCACACGCATCACCACAAGCATCACCACAAGCACCACCACAAGCATCACCACAAGCATCACCACAAGCATCACCACAAGCACCACCACAAGCATCACCACAAGCATCACCACAAGCACCACCACAAGCATCACCACAAGCATCACCACAAGCATCACCACACGCATCAGCACAAGCATCACCACAAGCATCACCACACGCATCACCACAAGCATCACCACAAGCAAGCACACCTATTCGTGGAAGAATGTCACCCCTTGCATCACCTCTGCGAGGTGACTTTTGAGTCGAAGCAGAAGAATGTCACCCCTTGCATCACCTCTGCTCCTTCCATGAGGGAATTGAACCCTTTAAGTGCTTCCCTTCTTGTCCATTCGACCACTTGCTGTGCTTTCTACCCCTGTTCTCCCCTCAAGCTCACATCCAGCACAGTGACAGTACCTCAACCGTTTTTCTTCACCCCTTCGCCCTCTTTTTTCTTCTGCCCCTTTCTGTTCACACCCTTTCTCCTCAACCGCTTCTTTCCTTACAGGTCACGTTCAACTCTCCCCCGCCTTCCCTTGCAAACCCTTGACGTCTTCCTCTTCTTGTCGCTTTCTCTTCACCCTTTCTGCTCAAACCCCTCTTCCCTGACAGGTCACGTTCAACACTCTCCTCCGCCTTCCCTTGCAAGCTGACACTCTCCCACCCTCCTCCTCCTCCTCCTCCTCCTCCTCCTCCTCCTCCTCCTCCTCCTCCTCCTCCTCCTCCTCCTCCTCCTCCTCCTCCTTCTCCTCCTCCTCCTCCTCCTCCTCCTCCCCCCCTCCTTCCCCCTCTTCCCCCTCTTCCTCCTCCCAATACCCCCCCTCACCTTCCCCTTCCTCCTCCCGAATCCCCCGCCTGACTGCCATTGGTGCATCAGCAGCAGCCAATCAGAGGCGCATTCAGCGGCTGCTGTTGGTGTATGAGGAGATGAGGCAGGCGGGGTGAGTGGGGAAGGGGGATGGCTGGGTGGTGGGGAGTGTGAGGGCAGGCGGGTTGGAGTGGGCGTGCTTCTTGTGTGCCCTGTGGCTTCTTCGAGTGGGTAAGTGGTACAGGTGTGTGTTTTGAGTCGACTCAAAACACGAGTGGGTAAGTGGTACAGGTGCTGTGCTGCTTCTGCAATCAGAGGCGCATTCAGCGACTGCTGCTGGTGTATGAGGAGATGAGGCAGGCGGGGTGAGTGGGGAAGGGGGATGGCTGGGTGGTGGGGAGTGTGAGGGCAGGCGGGTTGGAGTGGGCGTGCTTCTTGTGTGCCCTGTGGCTTCTTCGAGTGGGTAAGTGGTACAGGTGTGTGTTTTGAGTCGACTCAAAACGCGAGTGGGTAAGTGGTACAGGTGCTGCGCTGCTTCTGCAATCAGAGGCGCATTCAGCGACTGCTGCTGGTGTATGAGGAGATGAGGCAGGCGGGGTGAGTGGGGAAGGGGGATGGCTGGGTGGTGGGGAGTGTGAGGGCAGGCGGGTTGGAGTGGGCGTGCTTCTTGTGTGCCCTGTGGCTTCTTCGAGTGGGTAAGTGGTACAGGTGTGTGTTTTGAGTCGACTCAAAACGCGAGTGGGTAAGTGGTACAGGTGCTGCGCTGCTTCTGCAATCAGAGGCGCATTCAGCGACTGCTGCTGGTGTATGAGGAGATGAGGCAGGCGGGGTGAGTGGGGAAGGGGGATGGCTGGGTGGTGGGGAGTGTGAGGGCAGGCGGGTTGGAGTGGGCGTGCTTCTTGTGTGCCCTGTGGCTTCTTCGAGTGGGTAAGTGGTACAGGTGTGTGTTTTGAGTCGACTCAAAACGCGAGTGGGTAAGTGGTACAGGTGCTGCGCTGCTTCTGCAATCAGAGGCGCATTCAGCGACTGCTGCTGGTGTATGAGGAGATGAGGCAGGCGGGGTGAGTGGGGAAGGGGGATGGCTGGGTGGTGGGGAGTGTGAGGGCAGGCGGGTTGGAGTGGGCGTGCTTCTTGTGTGCCCTGTGGCTTCTTCGAGTGGGTAAGTGGTACAGGTGTGTGTTTTGAGTCGACTCAAAACGCGAGTGGGTAAGTGGTACAGGTGCTGCGCTGCTTCTGCAATCAGAGGCGCATTCAGCGACTGCTGCTGGTGTATGAGGAGATGAGGCAGGCGGGGTGAGTGGGGAGAAGGTATGGGATGGGGGGGTTGAGTAAGTTGAATTGAAGCTGCCAGGCGCATGAGTGCAACAGAGGCGCATTCAGCGGCTGCTGCTGGTGTATGAGGAGATGAAGCAGGCGGGGTGAGTGGGGAGAAGGTATGGGATGGGGGGGTTGAGTAAGTTGAATTGAAGCTACCAGGCGCATGAGTGCAACAGAGGCGCATTCAGCGGCTGCTGCTGGTGTATGAAGAGATGAGGCAGGCGGGTTGAGTGGGGGGCAGAGGGGGGCGAGAGCATGGGAGGCATGGGACATTTGACTTGGGGACGAGGGATGGGGCGTGGTCGATGGGGAATGGGGCATGGGGCGTGGTCGATGGGGACTGGGGCATGGGGCATGGGACATGGGGCATGGGGCATTGGACATGGGGCATGGGGCATGGGACATGGGGCATGGAACATGAGGGGGCATGGAACATGGTGGTGCATGGGGGTATGGTGCATGTGAAACCAAATGCAAGTCAATCCCACATATCAATCTTTTCCCACAACAATACCCCACATCACTCTGCATTCCTGCCTGCCTGTTCTGAAACCCAGCTCCCCCTCTGCCTCCCCCTTCCCCTTTCCTCCCATTGTCTCAAAGCCCCACCGCTCTTATACCCACTCTTGAGAGCTCGAAAAACTGGTACAAGGAAAACCCCAACTGGCTTCTGAAAGCCACACACACACACACACACACACACACACACACACACACACACACACACACACACACACACACACACACACACACACACACACACACAACACACACACACACACACACACACACACACACACAAAAAAAAGAAGAAGAAGAAGAAGAAGAAGAAGAAGAAGAAGAAGAAGAAGAAGAAGAAGAAGAAGAAGAAGAAGAAGAAGAAGAAGAAGAAGAAGAAGAAGAAGAAGAAGAAGAAGAAGAAGAAGAAGAAGAAGAAGAAGAAGAAGAAGAAGAAGAAGAAGAAGAAGAAGAAGAAGAAGAAGAAGAAGAAGAAGAAGAAGAAGAAGAAGAAGAAGAAGAAGAAGAAGAAGAAGAAGAAGAAGAAGAAGAAGAAGAAGAAGAAGAAGAAGAAGAAGAAGAAGAAGAAGAAGAAGAAGAAGAAGAAGAAGAAGAAGAAGAAGAAGAAGAAGAAGAAGAAGAAGAAGAAGAAGAAGAAGAAGAAGAAGAAGAAGAAGAAGAAGAAGAAGAAGAAG